CGGTTTTAAATCTGAATCTATACGTATTTCTTTCAGAAAAAAAGAAAACTTGATTTCTGAAAAAATTTAAAATTACCTCTCTGAATCAGTGTAAGATATTACAAAAACAATTCTCAGTCTAATTGATCAAAATTAGATGGAAACCTTACGCTGAGCATATATGACCCGATAAACATTAGGATTCTCTCGAAAAAAAAAACTGCGAAACCTTTCTTTAAATTATTTTTCCTCAAACATGTGCCTTATTATTCAAAGTACTTTATCTGTTAGGAACTAACATATGCACGACTAGTAATGAGGCAATGCTTAATAGACAAAAATGTACAAGAGTTCTACACTTTAGTCGTAAAGGACCTCGATAAGAAGATATCTTTTCAAGCAGATAATAAAAAAAATCATCAAAAGCTTTCTTGAAAAAAGTGTCAACTAAAATAAGTCATGTCATTTATGAAAGATTAGACCGCAAAGTATGCTCCTATGCATTTATCTTAGCTTTAATAATTCTGACGCAACTAGACTTTTTTTTTAGAGAAACCTTACGTTTTAATGGAGCATTTGATTAACTTTCTCTTTTTCTTAAGAAATTAATATCATCTGAAGAAGAATTAATTGAACAATTTCAATATGAATTACAATTATCTGTTGGTGATGAATTAAGAGCTTTGCTTAGTTCATTTAGTGGTAAAGATGATTCATTTTATGTATTAATTATTAATGAAAATACAGCTGCTATTGATCGAGCTATGAGTGAATTACAAGAAGATCATATACCAAATCGAGAATATCTTCAAGTACCTCAAATGAAAACGTATGTTTTACATTTTTTTTGGACAAATTAATTAAAGTCTAACTATTGTTTTTTTTTTTTTCTTTAGTCTTGTTGTTGCACGATATGCTGATGACAAAAAATATTATCGTGCATGGGTAAAATCGGTTGACATACAACATGAACAAGCCATAGTATTTTTTGTTGATTTTGGTAATGAAAGTGCTGTATCATTTTCGGATATATACATATGTCCAGAATCTGTTCGTACACTTCCATGGCTTGGTATACGTGTTCGTCTTACAAATGAAACCATGACAGCTGAAGAATTAACAACATTTTGGAAATTAACTGAGTCACATTATATATGGATACGTATTAATGAAATATTCAAAGATTCATATGGTATACAAATTAAAATTGATTATACAATATATCTTCAACAAGAACGTCTTAAAATGTCGACATCTAAACGATTTATGCATACGGCTGTACAGGTTTGAAAGAAAAATATTCTTTTTAAAAATACAAAAAAAAAACTTTTTTATGATAGACAAAAACAGATGAAAAGTTTATATATCCAAGAAATAGTTCAGAAAGAAATTTATGTTTATTAACGCCATCAAAAATTGATCAAACACAAATGGGAAATGAAAATTTTCTTCGTACTTTGTTTGAAATGATTAATAATGAATTACGTTCACTTCAACATCGTATTAATGGTAGTGATGAAGCATCACAAGATCGACATGATCAACTTGTGCAATTATTATTTTCAATAGTCAATCCAAATAATAGTAATAATCAGAAAAAGATTTGTTAATGAAAAATGAACAAAAATAGAAAATCTTGATATTTAACAACCGGTTATTAATATCCGTTTTCAATAGTCAGTTGTTTCTAACTCAAACAAATTAGCTTCTATGTATTTAATTGTTTCTCTCAGGATTTATATTCCCCTTTTTTTGTTTATTTGTGTAAAATAAAAATGTTCATGATTTGTTTTCATATCGTAGATATTGGTTTTCAATATGAGGAGTCTATTTCTTTAACTAACGAAGTGTTTTAACACGAGTTTCATGTATACGGTAACATAGAAAAACCTATCATCTCATGAAATTTAATATCTATACTTATAAAATTTAGTTTTTGAATCAACTTGTTTTTGTAATAGAAAGAGCTAAAAAAGGCTACTAAAAAAATCGTTTTCATTTAGAATGCCTTCTAATGTAACTGAAGACAATTATAGAGAAAGAGCGTACTTTTGTACTTGAGATTATTTTACTCTACTTTAAAGTACTTCGACCGAAATAAAGCTACTTTACACGTATTTTGAATAATTTGAAGCACTTTAAGATACTTCAAAATTTCTCAATATTATTACAAGCACACATCTTGGGTATTAGGCTATCGATCGTTTTGTTATTGCTAATGATCAATATAACATCACAAACTCAATGTGTAGGAAACAAAAAACCATACTAATTGTGGCATTTCACTAGTATTTCAATAGTTTATCTAAACAAAAGATAAAAACGAAAAACAAAAGATCACACGGCTGTTGAAATAAGTTTAAAAAAAAGAGAAAAACGTTCATGAACTACTTGTTCTTGTCGAATAATGCTGCCATGTATATATCAGATTTAGACTCAGAATCAGGTGAGCAAATTGATCTGATTTCAGCTAAACTTTTTAAATACGTCTGTTTTCGCCATTTGTTGCCGGTCCTTGTATCAGTGTTTTAGGCACTTCAACTCATCTATTTTGCTCATTTTTATCGGTTTTCACTGTTTTAACAGTTCAGAAATATAAACATTAAGATTGTAAACTGGAAAAATTCTAGTTGTCAGTCAAAACGCAAATCTATATTTTGAACTTACGCATTCTCAAAAGTACAATAAGAAGCTTGGATTATGTTGAATGTATTGATTATGATTATGCAAATTGAGCCGGTCATTAGACGTTAAATTTGGTATGTACTTAAAATTTGCTGCTCCACAATTTCGAGCTCATCTTTCTGGACTGCTGTCAGTCGATTATCAGAAGCTCTCAATGATGAGTAATTTCAGTTCATGTTTTTGTTACATAAATGCCAAAAAAAAGTTCCGTTCTTTTTGGCAATTGCTACCTTATGTAACTGTGACAATATCTAGGCAGTAAGAAATCTGAAAATATGCAGTCTAGTATAACAATCAAATATGACAGCTCACTTTGTCTTCCTATTACTAGTAATCGGCTTAAATGAATTGAGAAGTCTTTTAGTTGTGTTAAATAATGATTTGAATTAAGAAAACATCAAAAATATCAATTCCTGTAAAGAAATTATATCTTATTGAAGAAAACCAGCTAAAATAAAGAAGAGAATTTGTTCAATATCAGTTTTTTTGAGTTAGGAGATAAAAAGTTTGCAAAGAGTTCTCATATATTTCACAGTTCATAAATTACAATAGCTCAATTTTTTGAATCGAAAACCTTATTTTGAATAGAAACCCTAGTGAAACATCTTGTAAGTAAGATCTTGGCCAAGATCTTGGGTACAGAAATGTGAGTAGATCTTGAAAATTTAGGTACAAGATAATTGCATTATCTTGTACCCAAGATCTAAATAAAGATCTTGGGTACAGATGTGGAAGATCTTGATAACAGACAATCAAGATCTTTTCTCTACTATCTTGTCTTTTATGATCTTTTCCACTTGATCTTTGGTACAGATAATTGGATCTTGTCTAATGATCATTAAGATTTTCAAGATCTTAAGTTACTATCTTACTGTCTATTTATTATAACTGTTTGTAGTGTACGTTACAATATTTTCATAAACACACATCATTACAATGAAAATCTTCACAAATAACTGTTAATTTCTTCCTGATTATCATAAGCTCAAAAATATCTAACCAAATGGATTACTTAGAAATGAAAAAAAAAATCACAGTTTACAAAACATTAAAAAAATTATGGATCTACTCTAATTTAGTATAACTGTTTCTAAATCTCAAACGAATAAAATTTAAATTATCATTGGATGCTGTTATTCTCATGGTTCATTCTCATTTGTATTAATTGGAGATAATGCAATTGTTGTTGTTGTTGTATCATTTAATTTTGGTGTTTGTGATAATGAATTGTTATTTGATTTTGGTTTATATTTAACAGCATCATATGGCATTTGAGCCATTGAATTCATAATTCGTGACCAAGTATGTGGTAAATATTCGTCCAAAATGAGGCACTTCTCTTGAATGAACTCTGAAACAAAAGACATATTCAATTGTTTGTTTCCAAATATTATCAAACAATATTCAGAATATATTACAAAGCCTCAAAATGTAATCTTTCATTCGTGCAAGTTATTCTCATCTTGCGATATAAGAAAAAAAATGTATCGTATCTATCTTGCATATATTCTCATGGAAAATATTATGTTTTTATAGAGAATTATTAAATAAAACTTCTAATAGTTTCTCAATTTTTAAAATAACATTTCACTCGCCCAGATCATTGATTCTTCACAATTAAAAATCATGAAGCATTAAGCTCAGAAAAAAATGAAAAATTGGAATAAAAAAGATTGACATCTTTAAAGACACTTGAAACGTAAAGATAACTATATGTAAAGCTGTAAATTTATTTACTTTTTAATATTGGTTCGTTCGATTCGAGTACTTCTTTAAGCGTCGAGCTAATTTAATAATAATAAAACATGCATCGCGCACAGACAAGAAACTTGATGTAAATAATTTGGTTTGATTGTTCAAGTCATACATATTTATAAATTCTTCAACATCATCGTCATCCCGTTCAGCTTCCACATCGACGTCGTCATCAGTAATATCGTCGGAATTTATTTCGAATTCATCTGAATGTTCAGAATCAAAAGAAGAAGTTGAACAATCAAATCATTGTAATTGGAAGATCATTTGTAGTATCAACAGGTACATGGTCTATCGTATTTGACATATCCATAGCAGCATCTTCATTTTCTTTGTACTGACGAATTTTTCGAGATATATCTTCAGCATGATTTCTTGAACGACGTTCTCGCATACATTCTCGTGTGTACTGGGTCTTACTTTTGGAGCAATAAGTATTCATCTAAAATAAATGTTATAAAAGAAAAAACGAATAAAAAACCATACAACAAAAAAGGAAACAATTTTGATACTATTATTAGCATATTCTAAAATATTTAAGTCTTATAATTCTACGCTCTAAGTTGTATATGGCTTTCGTAGACAACTAACACCGTGTATCTCGTGCCTTTATTGTTTTTATATTTAAAGAGCCACTGACAGATGAGAAAACGTGACAATGGAAGAATAAAATAATTTAAGCTTCAGCTATGCAGAATCATTGCTAAAAGAATGCTAACGAATTTATTTTGCCCCTAAACAATTAGTACTTACCTTTCAAAACTAGCTATCTATCTACTGATTAAACGTTCTGAATAAAACTTCTAAAAGACTAGCATAACATTAAAAACAAATACGATTAGATAGTCGACTAAAGTTGATTTATATTTTATGCAAATAACGGTTTGCATTGTCTTTCTTTTCCATCTTTGTTGTTGATTCTTTCATTTTATTGGTTCGTCGACGACAAAATCGTTGCAAATTTTTTTTTGTTTTCTGCCATCCAAGAATCAACTGTACATGTCTTTCTGCAACTAATTGTGAACAATTTGAGAATATTTGATTTTGTGAATAAATTAGTGATGTCGCTTTTTGTTTTATTCAAGATCTTGGGCAAAGATAATTAGAATTCAAATTCTTTTCCAAGATCTTGACGTCTCGAAATCTTGAACATATCTTATTAAGATCTGTGGTATAGATGCATCTGATCTTATCAAGAAATAATTTTGCAAAAAAAGAAGAATTATCTGTTAAAGATCTTAGCAAGATCTTGGTTATTGATAAGCAAGATTCCAAGATCTTACTTACAAGATGTTTCACTAGGGAATAAGCAAAATATATTGTTCCTAGAAAATTTCAATTTGATCGGCTGTCCTGATCTTGAGATATAGTCTTGTCAAAACCTTTCTGGTCAAAATACTCATCTTTGAGGCTATTCGTAAAACGTTCATAAAAAATTAAGGACTCACTATTTTTCAAAGTAGCATGCATAGAAATTATAAAACGATATTCTCTACAATATATGTTAAGCTACGCAAAATCTGACGAAGCCTATAGAGCATATTTGGTTGCGTCTTATATGGACTGACTCTGATTCAACTCACATAAGAAAGTGAAAAAGAATGACCAAATTAGAACCCTTGGCAGATTTTTTCAACGAAAATAAATGCTTAGTGTATAGACGATATTAACTTCTTCCAAAAAGAAGAAGAGAAAAGAAATAATATGTTCTTCGAGCAAAGCTAAAGAAACAATAAGATTTTCACATTTTTTGCAACAAAATGATTATCTTTTTGACAAGAACTATTGAAAATGTATGAAATTCAAAGTAAATAAAAACCTACTCATGTTGTCGTCGAAAGAGACATCAGTTGAATGCTAGATTTAAATTATTCACTCTCGATTAAATTTGACCATGTCATAAAAGTAGAATAAAATAATACTATTTGTATTGCGTGGCAATCTTTACATATTCCTAGTGTTAGATACCTTGAAAAAAAAATAGAAGCGTGCTAAAAAATATATTTTGAAGCTTCTGAGACATATAGCATTTTTTTTAGCAAACGAAATAATCACAGAAACAAATTAAACATCCCGGTTCGAATCTTCGATTCAATTTCTGAGTCCTTCAATACATTCCATCAATCTTTTGAGAATATCAAGTAATGAAAATGTCACACAATAAATTTAAATAATACAATAAACATCAACAAGGAATTTACATTCCCAATGCTAAATAATTTTTCGTTAAAGTTTCTCAGAAATTATAGAATATTATTGAATAATAAAAATTGATATTGGACCAAAAAGTAACCTTAGATTCGAATTCTCCATGACTATTTCCTAGGTGAATTAATTACGGCCGGCTCAGAGCGAGAAACTCGAAAAAAATGGTAGAAACTTGGAGGCTAGGATTTGATGGTTGCATTCAGTAAGCGGACGTAACAAACTTCACATGAAATCAACCATAATCGTACGCAGGCGTCAAATGAATACGGTCATCGAATTTCTGTATCCAAGTTCATATCCTATTGTGGAGTTTTCCTGTGAAAAACGGTGTTTTTCCGATGGGTTACCGACATACATTGACATATTCAAGCGCTGAAATAGTTTACTTGAATTAGAAAACACAAGTGAGCAAGGAGGGATAAATTCATTCTAAAATATTGACAGCCTTAAACACCTTCTTGCAGAAAACGAACTTAACTTTTCATAGAAATATTATTCTACGTATATATTTTTTGTTTGTTTAAATACTAACGACGAAGAAACATGGATTGGTTACATTGTTTTTTGTTTTTCTTTGTTTGAAATCATTTCATCTGTATACATATAGCTTAATTTCAGTTATTCCTAAAGTTAGAATAAAAAATGATACGTGTAAAAATATTTTCGATGAAATACACCTGATTTTGATGATATTCTACATGTGTCGATATTGTTGCATTGTGTTGCTTCAACATTGCGCCTTCTCGCTTTTCCTGCCTACTCTTCCACTGCGTCTTGTCCTTCCCCTTACGTCTCCTTCCGCTACTTTTCCCCGTACCTTTCTGCACAACCAGTTCCGTGACTTTTTGGCCTTAGAAGAAAGACTCAATACCTTGTTGGTACGTATAGTAGTGTATGGAAAGCCTTTTGACATATATATATGTCTTTGTATTCATCTCATGAGTACAATATACATACATGCATGATTCCACGACTATTGTCGGTATCGTCCGGTGTACTACCCCAACGAGGTCGCGGAGTCTTTCTGGTTATGTGCATGAACTGAGAAATATTATATGAAAAAAAATCGTAATGGATTCAAAAGAAACATACGAAATTTATTGTAGCAAAAGAAAGGATCAATTACAATTTATTTTTGACACGTTCAATGTCTGTTTTCGATTTTGTGACATGAGGATGAGTTGAAGGAAGAGATTTTTCTAAAATCGCATGTGCTTTTTCGTAAAATGTAAGTGCTTTTGAGTATTCGCCCATGCTATCGTACGCCGAACCAGTGTTGCCATAGGAATATGCCAAGTCGGGATGGTTCGGAGAAAGAGTTTTTAGTCGTATATCGAGTGATTTCTCATGAAAGGAAATTGCTTTTGAATATTCCTTCATCTGATAATACACCAATCCAATGTTGTAGTAGGAAGTAGCCAAGTCAGGATGATTTGAAGGTAGAGTTTTCTTGCTAATCTTCAAGTCTTTTTCGTAAAATGAAAGTGCTTTCGGGTACGCGCCCATGTTATAATGCACCAAACCAATGTTGTTATAGGATTTGGCTAAGTCAGGATGGTTCGGAGGAAGGGTTTTTTCGTCGATATCGAGTGCTCGTTGGTAAAAGGAAAGTGCTTTCGAGTGTTCGTTCATGTTAGAATACACCAAACCGATATTAATGTAGGAATTAGCCAATGAGGAATGATTCGGAGGTAAAATTTTCTGGTTGATCTCCAGATCTTTTTCATACAATGAAAGTGCTTTCGAGTACTCATTCATGTTATAATATACCAAACCGATGTTGTTATAGGATTTAGCCAAGTCGGGATGGTCTGGACGAAGGATATTTTCATCGATACTGAGTGCTCGATTGTAAAATAAGAGTGCTTTCGAGTACTCGCCCATTTTATAATATGCCAAACCGATGTTGTTGTAGGAAGCAGCCAAGTCGGGATGCTTCGAATGTAGAGCTTTTTGTCGGATATCAAGTGCTCGTTGGAAAAATAGTAGTGCTTTCGAATACTCTCCCATGTGAGAATTCACCTGACCAAGTATGTCATTGTAGTCCGCTCGATCCTTATCGAAATGTGCCTTTTCAAGAAGAAGGTGATAGAGTTGTTCTGCTTTTGCAAACTCTCCTATTTTCATAAGTATTCTACCTAATCGTGGCCATCCTGTTGCGCAATTAAACTCCTCGCGTATGCGTTCTGTGAGTATATTTAAATCTTGCTCGTTATTACTCGTGAGAGTAAGATTAACTTGATATAAACGATCAGTACAATCATCATGGATTCGTTGAATTTTATCGATGCGAAAAATCGTGTATATGGAGAAAAGAATGTCTTCCTTGTGATTTTTATCGTAGCCGACATCTTTGAGGTTGACAAAAGGAATCGATGATGCTTCACAGAGTTTCGGGTTTATGTTCATAACAAAGAGTATGCCAACCGAATTCGGTTCAAATGCTGCTGGACATGCAAAGTTTTGCAGCGAAATATTACGATTACGGCTTGTTGAAAGGAAATTATTAAAAGACATAAGTCCTCCTTCGGTTTGTTTCATTTTTTCAAAGTCTTGCATAGATAAAGCCTGACCTCGAAATACTTCAAAAGGAGCTGTATTTGTTGTCGTTGCGGCCTGTTGCTCGTGATATAATTCTTTCACATGCTGATGTAAGTGTCGGATAAAGAAGCCCATTTTAAATATAATATCGACATCCAATAATCGGAAACCTCGATTAAGCATCGAAGAAATAAAACATGGAGCTGTATACCACCAAATGGGTTTATGAAGATTATATTCTTGTTCGACATTTGCAATCTCGTTTTCAGGAATATCGTCTTGAAGGCGACAGTAATCAACGAGTTCTTTAATAGATTTAGCTTTGTCATCATCAATTTCCGAAAAAACTTCTTTAAGTAATGGTGTGCACATAAACAACGCATCAATGCCATGAAAACTGATCGAAATCATAGCTTGATCACATTGTTCACGATCAATTTGTAATGCTTTACAAATTGGTTTGATTTTTGTGTATACACCTTTTATCTTTGATATTGCTTTAGCCCATTCTTCATGAACCGATTGTTTGCCACAGAAGATATAAATGGAGTTCAATTGTGGCCATGTATAAATTTCCGGTATTAAATGTCGTCCTACTGAGCCAGATACAATCATATAGACCCTTTCATTCTTAATTTCACTGAGAAAATCAATACATTCTTGAACATCTGTAAATGTTATGACGGATGCTACAATATGTCGTAGACGTTGTATTGATTTTTTAAAGTCATTTTTGGATTCGTCAACGTTTGAATCAAGCCAGATCACGAGAAAATCTTGTAGAACTCGATGAACACGTCGAGATAACACGGTATTGCTGCTTGTTGTAATTGCTGCTGCTGCTGTACTATGTACAGTATTAGCAGTAGTTGTGGGTGGTGGCGATGATTTCTTGAGTTTATTTGTAGTGAACCTAGACGATGTGCCACTAGCAGTAGTTGTTGTCGACTTTGTTTTATCCATGATGAATGAGTAAATGAATGTAATAAACACGATTTCTTCCTTCTATATATATATTGTTGTTTCTTACTTTTGTTGATAATTTCTTTTGGACGGTCGTTACAGGAGTGTATGTTTTTTGTGTTTTAGTTTAAGAATTTCTTTTAGTTCACTTGTTTTCAGAGTACTGACGAAGCAACAACGAAGTATCTATGTGTCAAGCAAGGAAGAAACAAGAATGAAAATAAATGCATGAATGTATCATGATCGGACAAGAGAAAAAACGGAGAAGTATAAAAAAAAATTGCAAGGTTTTTTTTCCCATGCAGTATTGGATAGGTATATGCAGCAAATAGATAGAAGAGAAAGAGAAGACCACAGTACGCACATGTTTTATTTATTTGATTCATTCGAGTCAAAAGAAGTGCAAAGCAAAATGCATAAAAAGAAAGAAAGACATGATTCATTGAATGAGCGGTTGCATCGTGGAAAATCTTCAAGTATACTACTAACCCTTGTCCTTGTTTAATATAATAATAGATGCAGTTTTTTTCCTACACAATTTAATAGTTGATTAATCTATCTTTTATTATAGTTTTAATGAAAATACATAGAATGAAACAAAAACATTATTGTTAGTGATCATATTATCATTATCAAAAAAACTTCGATCCAATCTCTCTTCTTTTTTCTTCGTTCTTTTTAGTTTTCTGTTGTTGTTATTGTTTGTTTTCTCTTTCATTTTCAACACGTTTACACAGGTGTGCGTTTAATATGTGTGTCAAATCATTATGTAGATATTTTATTAAAAAAAATAAACGAAGCTCGTTCGTCATTATTTAACATTAACACACATGCTTATATATGAATACAGCAGATGTAGCCCCAATTCGTTCCTGTTGTAGTTGTTTTCTGGTTGGGATCTCTGAAGTCGATGGCATATTCGTCCTCAATCAAAAGTAGTTAGCGGTTAATTGATTCAGAATTTGTCTCCACTTTATTTAATAGTCGACAACTATGAAAGAGAAGAAAACAAAATAACGAAATAGACTTGCTTCTTGAATAATTGCTTAAATATTCCTTTCATGAACAAATTAGTAAGATGGATTTAGCAATTGAATGTGATCAGGTTGTTAAGACTATGTATATTAAATAATGACTTGTTTTTTGACATTAAAATTTATTTCTTATTATTATATAATTCATTTTTGTTCTTCTTTATGCTTGCAAAAGAAAAAATGATTATATTTACTTTTTGATATTATGATTGAAAGTGATTTGCAAACTCAATATTACTACATTAGTAATGCATGTATATAAAAGAAATCGTTAATTTAATTGGGAGACAAATCGACAGTGAAGACGAATATGCGGAAGTTTCAAGGGAACATATTAAGTCAGCGATCGGCTTTGGAAACAATTAAGGATGGGCGAGATGATGGTAGACGTAATGGAAGACGAATCAGAGAGGTGAAATCTAGTGTAATAGGTACATTTGAATAGTTCATGAATTTGGAAAGAAAAGGATCAAGTAATTGACTATTGTTTGTGTTTTTTTTCTCAATGAGTTTTTTATATTATTTAATGATGATGATGAAAGTAAATAAGTAGAATTCTTTAAATGATTTGTATTTCTGGCTCCAAGAATCCAATTGATTGAATCAGATATTTGTATTAATATATAAAATTGCAAATATTTCAGAATCAAAAATCAATCATGAATTTGCTAATTATTTAAATATTGTTCGATAAATAATATTACGATTATTATTTTCATATTGCAAACAATGTGAACTGTGTATAATCAATCATTAAATTGATTAATAGAAAGACACAAATTAGTTGTTCTTGAAGTTGTTTTGTTTGGCTAAACCTTTATAATGAATGAATGTTATTTTAATTGTTCTAAATAACGAAACAAAGAATAAACAATCTGAATTTGAAATCTTGTTTTGTTGAATGAAATAATTGAATGAATGAGGTCAAAACTTGTAGGTGGAGATTTTTATGCACAGATATATGGATAGATTGACTGATTTGTTAATAAATATATAGATGGATATTTTTGTATATGATTTCTTATGATTAATAGAATCAAATGGATAATGCTAATTATCCAAAGAAAAACAATGTTAGTGATTCTTTCTTGATGTAGCACTATTCTAGATGTTATTTTCTTTCTTGCTGTTTAATAATTAAAAATATTTTTCCGAAAAACAAACCGATTTCGTAGATTGAACACGTCATTTTTAGGATTTCAGGAACCCAGAAAATGCTGTAAACTGCAGTCCTTTCAGGTTTCTCAGCTCGAAATTCTTAAAAATCAGACATATTTTGATGTAAATATTCTAGTAAAAGTTTCAAATTTTTCAGAAATCAACTAATTAAGGAGCATCTTCTATTACTACTGGCACATCGTTCCTCTGATAGAATCTTCTATCATCAGGAAGTTTTCTGGTGCAAGGAGTGGTTTACTTATCTTTGATGTATCACTAATCGATTTTATATATTTCCTCCCTCAGATAGATCGATATATTTCGGTACATATATTCAAAATATGATTCGGGCAAATTTGTGAACCATATTATAATGATTTAGTCAAAATATTCATTGAATTTATTTTGAAGGCACTTGATGAAGACAATGAGCAATGAACTAATTTGTTTGTGCCAATGCAAAAGACACTCAACGTTATGAGATTTTCTTTATTGTCACATTGAATAATAAAACAATCATTATGATAAGAATCTTTTAATCATCATAGTTAAATCTTTCTGTATAAGCTGTACTAAAAATCAACTTATGTTAAATACATATACTAATTACACACAAACTGATATCCAACATAACTACGAAGCTCATCAAATCTAAAATTTTTGAATACTATGTGCATCAATATAGTATCATTCGTAAAGTTTCTTTTGACTTCTTATTTTCTTGGATTACAACTGTAATAATCTATGAGACACTGTACATATGTATTTTTCTTACTTAATAACGACTAGAATTGCTTTTATGATACAAACAATAATACTTAATAGTAGTTAGCAATGGATCTAGAATTTTGGGTTAGAGAGGCTCAGCCTTTCCCCCTAATGAAACATTCGAAAGACGTATTTTTCTGATATAAAAATGAATTAGTCTTTTTAATGAAAAGTTTAAACACATATTTTATTTTGTACAACTTCTTTGTGTTTTCGTAGAAAAAAAAATACATATTAGTTTCACAAAATAAAATATCTTAAAATATTTTATTAGAAAAATTAATACATTTTTTTATTAGAAAAAATATATCTTTCAAAAATCTTACCAGTGGAAAGTAGGCTGAGTTCTCTCTCTCCCATGGATTCTGTTACTGATAGTAGTATTTGTTTACTTTATCCGTACGAAAGAACATGTTTGAATAAACTTTTACTATTGTTCAAAATATCGGGCCATTTGATTGAACCAACTCAGAGATATTTTATTTTTTTATCGTAGGGCTATTTATGGCTTACACTATATATCTCAACATATACGTTGGCTTTTCTTCCAATAAAATCCAACGAATGCTCTGAGAATATTATGCCATTACGTGACTTAAACAGTAACTTATGTGTATGTAAAAAAAATACTGGAAGATATACAATTTCTAACTATTAAATAATGTTAATCTATCATCGGCATGCGTCTATGTCTGTTTGCATGTGTATTTATCGTTTTACATGCTATAGTGGATATAAATTATGCAAAAAAATTCTTGAAGTCTTATTGTGATTGATCTGTCATGTATTTTTAATAAAGATAATTGATGTTATTTGCATAGTTTTTATTCAAGATAATATAAATAAACAATCAAAGAAAAGAATGAATATCTTCAAGTTTTGTTTTTGGTAGTTTCTTTTTTTTTTATTGGTAAATCTTTGTCTTCTTCTTCTTCTTCTTCTTGTTCACTATCACTTTCAGTATCAATAGAAATTGTTGCTTCATCTTCATCTTTTTCCTGATTTGCAAAACGTATTTTTATTTGTGGATCACCTGGAACATCCGAATGAACTGATTCAATTATATCTGCCGGATACTTATGATCATCAGCTTAATAGAAAATAAAATAAAACAATTAAAACTTTTTCTAAATTGAATTGTAATTACCTCGAACAAATGGTTCATTGTTTAATCTTGAATTCTAAAACAAAAGTAAAATTGAATGAAGCAAAATCAAAAGATTTAATTTCAATACTCGTTTTATTTTATTTAATTGGTCAGCTGATGAATATGATATATAAACTAATAATAATAATAACAATATACTAAAAATCTTTCTCATTGTATTCTTCTCGTAATTATCAAGTATTGGATGTAATATTTAGTTAAAAACTAACAGCACGATTAACACATTGATAAAATGGAAACCATATGTGAGAAAAAAAAGTTAGAAATTACATTATATAATAGTGAAATAAAATACTAGGTGGAACATTGACATTGGTTGATTCTATGTATCTTGGTAATCATCAGTTCTTTTTTTTTTAAAAAAAAAAAAAAAGAAAACCAGGCAGAACATATGTGCTCGTTTTTCTTTTCTTTTTCTCTATCCAGGTAATCCCATTGAATTCTGTTTTTGTCATCAAATGCAAACATTGCACCATTTAAAAAATTGCACATACAAAAACACAACAACAAACGAAAATGAATTTTCTCATCTTTGACAAAGAACTTTTATCATCAAAATTAGTTCATACAATATTAGCTGATTTTCGTCATGTAACATTAGTTGCATCTAATGAAGTATCATTAACTGTTCCATCATCATCACCACAATTTTTACTAATTAAACAAGTTGATATTAGTAATGCAAATCAAGTTATACAAAGTTTATCTAAACATGAAAATGATCCATTTGATGTTATTCTCATGTTTAATACATCAGTACATTCAAATCTTAATAATATTTTGGAAACTGTGAAACGATTAAAACGACAACCTCCTCATCTTTTTTTCTTTTTTATTGGACAACAACCTGAATTTGATAAAAATATCAGTAAACTTCTGAAAGAAACTTCAGATCTCATATCATGGACTATTGTTGTATGTAATGAAATCAATTCATCAACAACAACAAAATATCAAGTTCAAAAAAAATCGAATCCAAATAATCAACAACCAATAGATCCTGCTACTGTATTTGATTTTATTTGTGATGGAATCAAAACCAAAAAATATTTACATGAAACAATTTATATTTATTAATTTTTAAAATTTTATTCAGTTTTTTTCATTACACCACATTGATTTCATAATGGGTTCTAATTGATCAACATGATTTGATATTATTTTATTTATGTACTGACTAAGTTTTTCACCAACAGTTTGAGAATGAAGTAGACGTGTAATAAATGATGTTAAAAGCCCTATACTTTCTCGATATGTTGAACAACGATATAGCATATAACGCCATAATAATTCAATATAAACATTTTGTATTGATAAAATAGTTTTTGTAGGAATTATTTGTTCGTTAGTATCATATCGAATATTTAAACTTGTTGAAAAAATTAATACAATGAATATTAATTTAAGAAAAATAGGATCATAAACAAACGGCATAAGAGCCATAGAACAATGACATAATTCAATAAATAAATCTATTGGAAAAACATTTTTAAATACAATTGAATTAATATTATCAACAACACCTGTTGCCTGCATGACTAATACATTATTAAGACGCAATGTTTGATTAAGATTACTTTTTAATAAACCAATTTTTATTTCAGTGGATAAATTTGAAAATTCAGGTATAGATTTAAAATAATCAATTAATGCCACATACATATGTGAAAAAGAATTCATAAATGTTTGTAATGATAATGTTGTATCATTAGGCATTTTTAAAAGTTCATCAAATCTTAATGAAACACATGTTTTTTCATATGCATTAAATATATTTGCTAATAATGTTTGATCATTTGATGATAAAGATAAATGTGTTCTTTGAGAATGTTTTAAAAGAATAACTGGTGAAATCTAAATGCGAAAAATTCGATATAAAAAAAAATGAAATAAAATAAAATAAAGTAAAATGAAATACAGCTCCAGTTTTTTCCATTCGTTTTTGTCGATTGTATGCAATTAATTGATTTCTTTCTAATTTTTCATCTTCGGTGCGTATAGCATTGGAATTCATACCAACACGAAAACATTTAGCTAAACGACAACAACTACATTTTTGACGAGTATCACATGTTATTGGACAATCACCATCTTTATAACATGTAAATTCATATGCCTGGAAAAGAAAAATTCAAGTACATCATATTTATGTATAGAAAACGATGAAAACATACACCAAGTTTTGTAGCATTCCGACGAAAAAATGCTTTACATGGTGAACATGTATAGACACCAAAATTGATACCGACTGATGTATCTCCACAGACAAGGCATTGATCATTATCTTTGTTTTGTTTTTTTCTTCCTTGTTTTGATGTATAATGAAAACTTGTGAAGATGTTTGACTGGTCACATAAAAATGAAACAAGCTTCAATATTCTTATTCTATAGACACAAAATTGAAATGCATACCTGAAGCATACCGTTTTAGACAATGGGCATGATAGTCATGATAATAGGCTTGTTTTCACTTCGTTGCTATTCGTGGGTGTCCGTGAAGCGTATACATTTGTTTCTTCTCCTTGTTTTTTCTTTTTTTTTAAATTTTTTTCTTTTTCTTTTGCCTTTTATGTCAATGTAAATAATGATGACAAAAAAGAAAAATACACATGCAAATGATATTTTAACAAGAGAGCTTGTTAGCGCAGCCCCTTTGGGGCTGAAATGTGAAACTCACATATATCCTCTAGCCTCACTAAACGAATACAAAATACCTAAAATGAAAAATCTCTCGTAGACTATAGTTGTTTTGCAGGACAATCGAACATAAGAGTAAAGACACCTCGAATTTCTGCATTTTGAACAGAAATCTTTTATTTTTCTCGTCGGGCGCCTTATGTTTTTCTTTTACATTGTTGCTATTCGCTCATTATTTTTCTTTTTTTTATTCGTTTTTGTTAATTTAACATTCTTATTATTATAATCATTGAATTAATTGACAAATAAGTCTGTTTTACACATACATGATACCTACAGCAGATCCTAGGCACTATTATATATATTAATCAACTCAAAAACAATGATATTCATTATTTTTCAAAATTATAACTTAATCAATTTTGCAAAAAACTCTAGAAAGCCTGACGCCTCTTATTCTCGATTCTTAAAGTCTGTAATGGAGGGTATGTCTGTAATGTTCTCTTTCCCGTTGCTATGTGTCTGTAATGGGGTGGGGGGAGCCGCCAAATCTCGAACTGAAAACTTACACTCACTATTTTCTTCGAAAACATACGTGAGTTCCACAAAATATTTAAGACTACAACAAACTCTCTTTATATAATAATAAATTAAATTTATATACCTTTAAATACTTAGGGCATACCAAAAGTAGTGACAACAACACTTTAATTCCGTATAGTAAGCTCTAAGAAACTTTCTTTTAATATAGTCTGATTGAGAAAAGAATGCTCTATGTTTCTATGCTATTTGATCATACTTCAACTGATATCATAATAATAAACTTTCAATAAGATCTGTTTCATTAGAATATGTGCTGCTTATATTAGAGGATCAAGAGTGAGCAGATTAGATGGATGAACTTCGCATGTCAGTTTTCAATAACTTAATATGTTGTATTAGAAAAAATCAAAATATATCACAATATGCAGCGTGAGAAGCTCTACAATTTATACAGCACAGCTTATTTTATAGTTGTACTTTGCGTTTTCAAAATGGACAAAATTCATATGTAACCAATTTTCAACCCTGCGAACAAGAGCATTTACTGGCACACGACAAATTCCTTTTCTTATTCCTTCGGTTAATAAATCACATCAAAAAAGATAATCGATGACTGAGTTGAGATCAATGGATACATGTTCCAATTATATTTCCGCATTCACTCTTATATTACTTGTTAGGAGCACATACGCACTACATAATAATAAATCACAACTGTATAAGTACGATTAGTTAAGAAAAAGATATGAAATTCGAAGATCCTCGACAATGGGTCGCATAAAATTTCATCAATTTTGAAAAAAAGTGCAACTATAAACTAAACGGTCTTATGTAAATTGTAGGGCATTTCACGCTGCGTCTTGTGATATATTTTGATTTTTTAATACAACATATCAAGCAATTGAAAATTGAAATGCAAAGCACGACCATCTAATCTCCTCACCCATTATTATCTAATACAACCAGCACATATTCTAACAAAACAGATCTTATCGAAAGTTTATTATTATGGTGTTAGTTGAAGTATGATCAAATAGCATAGAAAAATAGAGCATTTCGGCTTGACCATAGGTAACGCACTCACCCATTTTTGACTTTCTGATTCCAATAACGCAAGAGTCGTACATAGTAAACAGCTGAAACTTATAGTTTCACAAGATAATTGGAAGATCTACCTCTACTAAAAATTTGACTCCATTTGATTGTACTATCGCAGTTTTAGAGGTTCACAAAGTTCCGGTAACGCACTCATTTAAAAGGCCTCTTGTCATTAGGCCCATGTAAAGAGGTTTATATTTCTACGAATTTATTCAGGTCAAATAAAATATTTCTATATTAATTTGGAGCTAAGTTGATAGGCTTAATAACCATGGCATCTGCTTTTCGAAAGCTTATCTCTATAAAGAGTTATTACCAAAGTATTTCGGTAACGCACTGAGTAGGGTTTTTTAAAGTTTTATAGTTCTAAGATTTATCCATCAAAACTTTGTCTATAGAATTCATGAGCAACTCAGAACAAGTGCTAGAGTAAAGTTCTTTTATATTCTTTGAAAAACCATACTTGTCCGTTATAACAATATGATAAAAACATGTTTATTAAAAAGCTACTCTTTAACTGAAGAGTAATCAAAGGCGATGTCCATTTAACAAATGCGTATAGCTCAACTGCTAAACAAGCTTGATCTAATATTATTTTTATTTGGAAGAGAAGAGCCTACAGTATCTTTTTTGCCTAGTAAAAAGTTCATAAATACCTTTAAAGAGTATCATTGCTAGTTTCAACTTAAAAATACAGCATTTTTCCCTTGTCAAAAAATTGACAAGTTATGATTTTGCTATGTTCAATTGAATTTCTATCGTTATGGTGAACTTAAAAAAATTATCATCTCTTAACATTGCTTTATTATGGTTCTTTCGATATTTCCTTATGGAAAGAATGCAACAATGCCGTTTCTAATGGCAATAAAAGCCACGCAACCATTATATATTTTGATTTCACCGATTGTCGAAGTTCACGCAGTGTCAGAGTAAATTTACTTACCAGAAATGTACTTGTTAGTCGATCTTAAAAAATGTCAAATAAATAGTTCAAAACAGCAATGAGAGATTTTAATGGTTTTAAGTCCGTAATAACGATAGGAATTCAATTAAATATGGGGAAAAACATTATTTATCTGGTTTTTGACAAGGGAAAAGTACTATTTTTTATGTTGCAGCTAGATTTGATAGGCTTTGAAGAATATTTATGAACTTGTATTAAACAAAAAAAAACATGCTTTATATCCTTCTCTTCTAAATAAAAAAAAATATATTAGATTAAGCTTGTTTCAGTGGCGGCGTTAGGGATACAGTGGGGCGATCACTCCCTAATCCCAATTTTTTTCAGTAGAAAAGGCTCCAAACGAACATGATTAAGTATAGAAGTTAGCGTCAATACATAGAAAGATAAACTGTTAAATATTATAATAAGATTAAGAAGAGAACGTTTAACCTCATAGTCGTTAATGAAGTCATATTGTCTGCTACTTTACTGCAAAGAGCAAAGACTATGACGATGCAGAATCTTTCATCATAGATATGATGCGAAAAATATTGGATAATTCACAATCCATATAGTTCACACTTTTCCAAAACAAAGTTAGCTAAATTGTAGTAGATATTGCATTAGTACTCGTATCAAAAGAAGGTAGAATCCAGCTCATATTTTATGATCAATAGTCTAACTAATTGATAGATGTACAAAGGTCATATGAGTGCGTTACCATTTATTGTTCTGAAGGATACGATTATAAAAAGTTCTGAAAAGTACATATGATAGTTCGTCAACAATTACCTAAAAACAAATAGCTTCCTTTCAAAATGTCTCATGTGGTAGAAGGATAAATTGAAAAAACCCTCTAAATGGTAACGCACTCATCTCTCTTTTGGTCAAGCTTTGCGACAAGACTTTTGGAAACTAAGAAAGAAGATAGCATTTTATTGCATATTCTAAAATAAAGCGCATTTGTTAGTGATTCTTTCCATTTCATAGCCATCTCGTAAAAACGTTTCAAAACACCTGCTGAGAACCTTTTCCCTTGCACTGTTAAAAGACACAATAATAACATGAAACAATACCTTATGTTTCGATCTCCCGTTCTTTTTTCAAGCAGAGCGAATGAAAAAACAAGGCTCATATCTTTATACAGTTATATATACTCTACAAACTTATCATGTTTAAATTCGAAAAATCTGAACTTCAACTTTGGCCACGCTGGATCGCCGTTAGCTGGACAGCCGTTATCTTTATCGAGAAAATGATATTGATTTAATTGAATATAATCGAACTATTCATTTACTTATTGGTGTAGATTAACATGAATATAATTATTTAAAACATAGATCAATATATAGATCTATATATAAATGTTAATGGTAATGTACTTCAACTATTTATTCATCCTTTTCCATATCAATCTAAATACAAAACAATTATTTTGATTTTATCGACTTACACAACTATCACAACATTTTCATCATCAACCAAAAACAACTGAAATAGAATATTATTTCTATCAACCTGATTTACAAGCATATCGAAACGAAGGGAATTTTAAAAAACAAAGAATTTTTTTTTCTATATTTAATTAACTCTATTTATATTTTAGGCTTTTTTACTTGATCGTATAGTATCTCTATTACCACTATGGATTTACTTTTGATAGTCGTTTACCAATAATACCTTCTCAACAATCACATTTAACACGTCCATTATCTAATCCTATGATGAATCCAACTAATACACCAATGTTCTTCAAAATTTCACTCAGTTCGAGAGATAATAAATATGTAAAAAAACGATAATTAGCAGCTGATAATTTCCTTTGACGGTGTTGTATGATTCAACTTGAAGCGACCATTAATATCCCAGCTGTTAAATGCATATACAATTTAATTATCGTCTTATGCGACTTAAATTCATCCAAGAAAGAGTCTTGACCATTGAAGAAGATCTGGCCATGGCGTATATAGATGAAATGAGCAATACGATAATGAACAGCTGAATGTTTCCTTATATGGCTATAGCCGATCACATTCATTATCTCTCGCTTGTCAGCTGAGTGAACAGAGCTGAACTCGACTTAAATTCATTATGATTTTCTCTACGGACGGTTACGACTTTGAAATACCAGATGTCGTATACACTCCTGTTTTGATATTTTTCGGGCTCGTGCAGTCAGCCGCCTTATCTACTCGAGCTT